TGCTTCTTTACTAATGCATTGTATAACTCGATCTAGTGGGAAATTTGATAAATACCAGATTTTAGAAGTATAATGAGCTTACGTAATATCTTTATTTTATGTTATGTGATATCTTTATTCTAATGTTATGAAAAAATCTGATCTTTGTTGGTGACAAAGTTGTAACCATTTATAATACTGAAGAATTATAATAATAATTCCTGAAGAAACAATTAATTTCATTTAGAGATTAATGAAAATAAAATTGTAAATTTTTTTCCCATTAAAATTCTTCTGAATTCTATCCACAGTTCCATGCTCTAAAGGAACAGTACATATTAAAAAAGGCCTTGACTGCAAGTCTTTTTTGGTGACTTTTTCGGAGTTTTTCAACAACTTGGCAAGTTCTTTACCTCTTAGCCTTTGTCCTTCAGTTGTTTGTCTGGAATATTCTTCCCCTTGCTCTTAATAAGACTGATTCCTTCTGATAATTCAGATTTCAGTTCATCAGCCACTTCTTCAGGACCCTTTTTCTTCTAGTTATCTTGTTGTTCATTTGTTTTCTTTGATTATCTTTATATGAATTCGAAGGTAGAAACTATGTCTTTCTTGCTTTCCACTATATCTCCAGTGCTGAGAAGAGAGTATTTTGCATGTAAGTGTTGCTTGAAAAGTATTTTCAAATGAATCTGAAGCCTATATTATATATTTTTAGTTATTTTCCATACTTTCATATGGACGTAGAGTGGTAATTATAATTCATATTTTTAATGATGCTTTGTAATCTCTATAGGCCCTCAGTGCCACTTGACAATCCTTTTATACATTGCTTGATGATTCTTTATTACATTGTTTCTGGCAAATCAGGTTCTTTATACAGTGTTTTCTCTCTCAGTAAATGACCCTGTCAGTGTTCAGGCCGGTGTCTTAGGCATCATCCTTGCCACTTACTCCCCTCTCATGTCTAGTATCCAGCCATCATGAAGGCCTATAGACCTTACTTGCTGACATCTCTGGAATCCCTTCTCTCCATGTCACTACTATCCTTTCTCACTGTAGAGAAAACTTGATTTGATATTGTAAAACATTTTCCTTTAAATAAAATGAAAATGCTTTAAACTGTTTGAGTCAAGTTGTAATTCACTATCCCTTATCCAGGAATTTTTTTTTTTCTTTTAAATAAGCCCCGAGGGAGAGAGAGAATAATTTACAGTGAGATAGGAGGTATGAATGGAATCAAAAGATTGGGTAGAGGGATTAGCTTTAGTAAGGAAGAGAATCATTTATGGGCCTTGTAGCTGGCCAAGGGTTTTAGGGATTTTGGTATTTATCCTAAGTACATTTAGAAGCCATCGAATTAGTGGGATGGCATCCCTAGCTTTGTGTTTTGAAAGTAACATTCTGACTGTAATATTGGCAACAGATTATGTGGATATAAGGAAACTGTCTATAAAGGTATTGCAGTAGTTCAAAAATGAGTGATGCTGTTTTAAAGAGGGGCAAGATGAAGAAAAGTAGATGGATTCCAGTAGGGATCCAAGTAAGTCTTTGGGTTAAATGGATATGGGCAATAGCAAGAGAAAGAAGTGGCAAAGGTGATTCTTGGTACTCCTGTGTGCCAATTGACTACGGTTAGCCATGCCCTGAGATAGGGAATACTGAAAAAGTACTAAATTTGGGATGATAGAAGATAACTTAGGTTTTAGTTTATATTAAGTGTACATGACTTATAGACATACAGATACAGTTGGCACTCCATATTCGTGGGTTTCACGTCCGTAGATTTAACCAACTGCTGATCGAAAATGTTTAAACAAACCAACCAACCAACCCACAATGTCTGTGCTGAACATGTACAGACTTTTGTGAGTTATTTTTTCTTAAATAATACAGCGTAACAACTATTTACGTAGCATTTAGATTGTGTTAGGTATCATAAGTAGTCTAGAGATGACTTAAAGTATGCAGGAGGATGTGCATATTTTATATGCAAACAGTATGCCATTTTATATAAGGAACTTGAGCATCTGTGGATTTTGGTGTCTGTGGAGTGTCCTGGAGCCAATTCCCCACAGATACTGAGGTATAATTGTACTCTAAATTAGAGGTTTTTCTTATGACCTTTGATTAAAACTTTACTTTTGTAAAAATCAAGTTTACTTGTCTTTTTTTTTGCCCACTATTAGCTTTCTATCTGAAGTATATAGGAGTCATTCTCTTCCCTCTCTTGCATGAATCTGTTAGGAAGAAGATTGTAGTTATGTTTTTCATTAACCCTGTCAGAAGACAAACAGACCCTGATAAGGGAATACAATTTTAAACACATTTTTAAAACAAATTTTAAATGTTAAACAAATATGAAATAGTGGACTAATTTTCTTTGTTAATTAATCTCTAGACTCAGATAACATTTTACATCGTATCAGACCCAGTCAGTCAGTTTTGTGGTTACTTTTGGGGCTATGTTGGCCCTCCCTCATGGTGGTGCGAACATAGGCCCCTAAACCCTGTTTCCCCGATCTTTTCCCAGTAATAAGGCATTTATTGCAACGTAGTATCAACTCTATTATGTTGTATACACAAGAACTGTTTTGCTTTTTTGAGTCTTGGTAGTGGATACTGGTTATGAACAGACACAAAATCTTCAGCATGTCCTCTTTAGGGGAAGTTTTTCTTGGATCCATTTGCAAGGATTTGTTCAGGTGGCACAGCAGACAGAGGACACTGTCTTACAGAGCGTTAAGGAATCATCATAGGAGCACCAAACAATTTTATTACTCTAAAATTTGGTGGTAGTGGATTTTCTATCCCATTTTAGTATTTAATGTCCATCGTCTGCCTTCTGGGAGTGATGTCTAAATGATAACATTGAAATTCTTGGAGATGCCTTAGAAATGTCTGTCAACAGGGATTTTTTTTTGTACTTTTTAAAGCTATGTTAATCTCATAGTGAAATTTCCTAGCTAAACAGTAAAAGACAGAAAAAGAAAATTTATCTGAATAGTTTGGATAAACTGGTTTTACCTTCTCATGACAAAATGGCAGGTGACCGGACAGTAGGATGGGTAAATGCAGTTCTACTTTTATCTATTAAAAATTAGCAGTTGTGCTTCAAAAAGAAGCATATTTTATAATTTCTAAGTGCCACCTGCCTGCTGTTTATAGTTGTGCCTCAGGGCCCAAAGAAGCAAGAGATAAGCAGTAATATGTATGCTTTGCAAAGGTTCCTGTCATCATTAAACAACTGAAAAGAAGAGAAAATAATTGGGGGATCAGATATACTCTCTTTTCTTTTGTCTTTATTGCTCCTAATATCAGGTGCCCCTCCAGTGTGTGAAAATGGTATGAAGCCTGGAGGCCTGGCAAAGGATGAAGAACAGAGAATGGGAATGTAAAGGGACAGACCATTTTTGCTCAGCTTTAGACTTTTTTTTTTTAATCAACTGTCAGATGTGAAATAATAGCAGAACAGTGTAATGATTAAGAACATGATCCTTGAAATGGAAATCTGCTGCTTTACTAGCTTTATGATCTTAGGTATTTAACCTCTTACACAAGTCTTTCCTGTCTCTTAGTGTTGTTCATGAGGGTTGTATGAGATCGTGTATGTAAAGTGCTTCAACACAGTACCAAGCATACTGCTTGTACAATCAGTAAATAGTTTCTACTGCTGTTATTGGTATTATTTTTGTAGAATATGCTGGAAATAGTATATCAATAAAATTACAGTTGAGATTATGTGTGATTATGCTGTATACAAAGAGGTGTGAGGAGAAATCTCAATTATTTGGTTGAATTAGAATTTCAGCACTGATATACTTGATCAAAATAAACAAGTATTGTAAGTATTGAAAGTTTTGGTGTTTTCATCTTCTGAAGTACTTATTAACACTTTGAACATAAAGATTACATAGTTATTTCTGTACCCTTTTCTTTGACTAAAAGCAAAGCTGTCGTTTAAAATTGTATTTGTATGTACATAAAGATCACATAGCATTGGGATGAAGAAGGCACAATTAACAAGTGGTGAGATGTTTATATACACTATCAGCTTATTTTGCTTAAGAAAACGATTTGAATATTGTTGCGGAAAAGTCAAAAGTAAACTAACAGGATATTTATTTTAAAGGAAGGATTTTCAACAGAATAAAGACACTTTATACTATTTGGTCCAATCCCCTTTGAGGACTCACAGTGTCTGATATCAGATTACTGTCGTTTTTCAAGATAGTGTTAGGAATATAGAAATTTACATAGATTTTATAAATTTTATAGATTTAAAATTGAAACTTGAGAAGATAGGAAGAATTTAGGTGTCTGTTATCTGTTTTTCATGAGTCATTTTTAAAAAAACTTTTTCCAGATGGAAATTACTGTCTTTTAAAGATCTTGCACTATAGTCATAATTTGGACAAATAGTACTTGAGTTCTCTTTCTGTGTACACACCTTTGCACACACACACACACACACACACCCTTTTTTTTTTTTTTTTTTTAACTTTTGTGGCATAGATCAGAGAATATTATTCTATACTGAGGGAAGGATTCGTTTTGTCTTCTGTCAAACATACTGATCTGATTTGGTATTATCCTCTTATGTGTGACTTTTATTAAGTAATTCTGGTGTTTCTGTAGTCATATAGGATAAATTAAGTGAAAAACAGACTTGATCCAAGAACTGGGGTGCGTTACATAGATCAGCTTTCAGAATCACTTCACTTAGAATAGAACATTTAGTCTACTGATTTGAAATGGAGGTAAGTACTTAAACAGTTTTAGTGTTTTCAAGTTTCACAAATGTTACAGTTCTCTTCTGTTAATTTATCCCTTAATAATAGAATCAGAGGTAAAAATGATTGTTATTAGAATTAAGAAACATTCTGACTAAAAATAGACAAATTTACATACTTGTATGGAATGAAAACACTATTTTGGTTAGTAGGTTGGTGTTTTCTTGATTTTAAAATTCATGATGGAGTCAAACAAAATTACTGTGAAAATACTTGTATCATAACACTCAGTAAAGTTTTTTGTTTTCCTTTATTTTTAAAAAGTTGATAAAAGTGCATTGTATACATTGTTCATCCTAGAATTGTGTTTGTCAAACATTTATAGTTTTCCCCATCCCTCCCCAAAGGGTTTTTAATTGGTGATTCAGAATATTTGTCATCTACCAAATTAAAAACTGCAGATTTGTAAACTTGGCACTCCAAGAAAGAAATAGGTGCCATAAAATGGTTAAGTATTGGCATGTGTACACCTGCTGTCAGGAAATAAACTTCCCATATGTTACATTTTGGCAGACATGCATCTTAAAAATGTATTGAATGAAACTGCACTGCACTCTTTATCTTTTTTCAACAGTACATCCTATTTGTGCCTTTAAGTAATTACTTTTGCTTCGATTATCTTTACAGATATATTCGAAGTCAGATATACATGAAATTAAATGGTGGTGCTGTTTAAAAGTGCAGTAATTGGTCTAATTGAATAACTCATTGAAATAGCAGTTTGGTTCTTAACACCAATGAGGAAACAAAACTTGTCTGTTTTGAAACATTTAATAACTAAAAACTTGAGCCTGAGACACATTAGTTTTTCACATTTTATCACGTCATGTCAAAATAATTTTCTCCGATATATGTATTAATAAAAGAAATTTAAAAGAATATCTCCGTTATTTTTAAAAAGTACATACTTTCATGAGAACTGCATTGATGAAACATCTGAACTTTATAATGTGTTTGTGGAATAACTCAACTAAATCTTATTGCATTTAGAACCCTAAAATAGTCAGGTCAAAAAATTTATCCTTTGCACAATTACAAAGTTTTCTTAAAATTGATAGTGATGTTTTATTTACATTTAATTATATATTAAAATGAAAAGCTATATCTAAAATGAAGGATCTTTTGACTGTCATTTCTTAAATTAAAATTTATGTGGAAAATGTATGCAGATACATTTTATTGGCCCCTAACAGAGGACTTGAACCGTTGATTTATGCATGCTTATTATTGCATGTTAATACACAGAATCCCCTTATACAGTTTTTTAAATAGATCTTTTGGGACACCTTTTTTGTTATATAATGTTATAGTTTTAAGACTTAACTTCTTCAGAAATTAAAAAAATACTTTTTGAATTTCTTTATGTGATGAGTTTCAACTAAAACTTGTCCTACGGATGTAATCAGTTCTAACTATACATGCTTTTAGCAATATTTACAAATTGCACATTTGAAAAAAAAAAATTGTCTTTTCTAATGTAGTTTACGGTGGCGATACCTGCCTGCCTTTTCTTTTGCTGCGTTGGCACAGGCATTGTGCTTATTTTGTTGTAAATGGTTCCAGTATTTTATCAGTTCACTAGGCTGGAACTGATGAGAGGTAATTAGGTGGCTGTATTTACAGCTTGAATAAGAAACTCGCCAGTGATTGAACACAAACTCATTGGGAGGGGGCACAGGATCAATTCTCAACTTGGCAAGACAGATCCCTACATACACATCTTCCAAGTGCAAACGGCGGATACCTAAAGAAACTTTAAAAATCTTTTCTGCCAGATCTCCAGAAAAAACATAACCAGTTCCAGAACAGAAGACAGGATAACGCTCACTTGGGTAGAGGTCTGGTGGCATGTACCACTTACTATCTTTGTTTCGGTTGGGTGCATATCCCCGCATTAGGTAACCAGTGAAATAGTTATGTCTAGGAGGCAGATCTGGCTTCAGTAACTTATTGATTAAATATTCAGTGTTGACAAACATGTCACTGTCAGTTTTCATAACATATGGAATATGTGGACAGTATGTTGCAACCCAATTCATGCCCATTAGTGTTTTAATGGTCAAATTATAGTACGTATCTAAGTATTCCTGTTGAATTATATCATGATATTGTCTGCTTTCTTCCAGTATTGCACGTTGAAGGTAGCCATTTAGCTTAATACTTAAGCCCAACAAAAATATTCGTGTGATTTGAATACCAGGTGCTAGACTTTCATTGCCCCAAGTTTGGCGAATAGCTCTTCTAGCTTCTATTTGTCCAGGCTCTGCAGCTATTAGTAGTATTAAAAAAGGACTTTTCTCTTGGCATTTTTCAGGCTCATTAATAATATATTTGAAATGGTAAGAATTTGGATGTCCAGTACCTTTTTCATTGTAAATACTTCCATTGGCACTAAGTGTATTCTCCAGGCCTGTAACTCCTTGTGGTGACAGGTCTGTGTTATTAGAGTTAGTTGCTGTTTGAGGCCTCAGAGTTTGAGGGACCGTTTCTTTCCAAATGTTCCGAAGGGAGCTGTGGTTTGTCTCACTTTTTGTTGACCGAAATCCTCGAAAAGTGTATGTCACAGGGTTTTCTTTCAATCCAGCTCTGCCTGGCAGCCAGTCATGATGATTGAAAAACAAAAACATAGCAAAAAGAAACACTAGAGAAAGTACTCCAATGAGATGAGTGCGGAACAGAGACCTCTTGGCATTCCAGGTCATCTTTGCAAAGCAGCAGTGTCTTCTCCTCCACTGAAGCATGTTGTAAATGTCCGGTAGTGGTATATGAGAGATTGGTGACCAAAAATGTTTTCTTCTCCTTAATACTATTCTTTGGCAATCATTTTCTAATTCAGTCACATTGTCTCTCTTGTAGTCATTCTACAAAAATGAAGCACAAAAGTTTACAGAACTGCCTGAAAGGGACTTTGGATACTAATATGATCAGGGCAAATAGGAATGTCTTAAGCTGTGAAAATATAATCCAGGAATGAAGCTTATAATTTTTTTCCCCTTGGCAGCATAACATCACTGAGAACAAGATTAATTTATTTAAAAATATACCTTTTTAGCATGGTGAGCATTTTAAAGAGATGAGGTGATTTATTCATTTCATTGTCTTGGTACGCTGGTCATTTGTACTTTTGACCCAAGTTAAAGATTTAAAAGTTGCATGTATTTGAGAAAAACGTTACTAGATTTCTGAGAAAGATTGTGTAAAAAGGCCTTAAGAGCAGATGGAAAATTTATTGGCATTAATTAAAATTGATTTGACATACTATTGGTGGTATGGTGCACAGTCAGAGGCCTTTTTTGTAAAATGGTCATGTATCAGTTGTGGGACAGACGGTGCAAGGTTGATTATGGCAGAGTTCTGTTAGTCACAGTACACTGCTTGGCATGTTTCCATTGGCCCCTACTGTGTTGAGAGAGTCAATGAGAAGATGCACCTGTCAAAATTAATTTTCAGTGTCCAATAACTTCAGTGTAGGATTTTTAGACAGTAATAAATGATTAACACTTTCAAAATTTTTAACTTTTCATTGTACATATGAAGTATTCATGATATAATTGTTCTTAGACTTAAGATTAATTTTAAAATATAGCGTGTAATTTTCTTTGATTATCTATGGCTTTGGCAGAACACTATTACATATCTTGGTTGAGTCTCCATGTTAGAATTAAAAGAGTTACTTTGAAACCAACTGTTTAAAATTCTGAATTTCACAGTATAGTTTTAAATATCCATGAGTTGTGCTTTATTCTAAATTTACATGCAGACAATTTGTTAAACTTTTAGAACGTGTCATTAGCACAGTTAGAGCCCTGTATTTTAAAAAGGTATGAGATGGCAATATGTGAGGTTCATGATGCCGTATGTTAAAAACTGGTTATGTTATCTTGCAACAAGGTTTTCAGTGCATAGCACAGATTTGTTCACGTTTGTTGTTAGTGTTTTTGTTGTTGTTTTCAGTTTTTTGGGACCAATATGTCAAGGGAGTAGAGGTGGGCGAAGAGCTATGGTTTGAATTCCATTAAAACAGGAAAAAACTTTTTGGCAAGAAAGAGTGATGAATATGTAATTTTAATTTTTCCAACTTTTTATTATGAAAATTACTTCTTTAAGCAAAATAAATTAATTAAAAAGTTTTAATATAGGAGCATTTATTTGAAACTACAGTGTATACATAAATGTATGTATTTAGCCTGTGATATTGAGAGAGTCATGGTTAACATTAAATTTGTTTAACCTTGGCATAAATTTAATTACTTCTAGGAAATAGAAGTTACATGGAAATCTCCATGTAATTGAATAGTTAAAAAGTAAAATTCACATACATAGTGTTAAGTACTTTGAAAATACTGATTGAAAGTGTTAGACATAAATGAATGAAAGTACTATTATAGTAGCCGCCACTAGGAGGAGCAAGTAGGTGGGAATTTGAACAAATATCTAAGGTCCAACCGTATAGGCACCAGCGTTTGAAATTTCTAGTTTCTGAGCTTAGAGAGTACTTTTAGAAGTTATTATTTCTAAAATGTAAAAAATTAAGCATTTTGAAAGATGTGAACAATTTTTTTAAGTTTGGAATTTTAAAAGCAAATCATCTAGTGTGCTATTTGTTGGAATTTATTTACATGAATTTAAACTCAACATTACTATAATGAAAACCAAGGCTATTCACTGTACCAACAAAACATAGTTCTGCTGTGAGCTAAGCTGAAAATAATACAGCTGAGCATTCTGATTTAGAAACTCCGTGTTTTGCTTCTTGTACTTGTAAGTAGCTGGCCATTCTTTTTAGACTAGGGAACTATTTTTAAACTTTTATTTCCAAATGACATATTTGGTAAATAGTAATGACTCTCCCCTCCACTTCATAAAGACACCAGTAGATATAAAGGTTGTGTATGTAAATTTAAAGGAAACAAAAGTTGCTTTTAAAATTTATTTGATTTATTCTAAGTGTTACAAAGATAAATTAAGTATATCTGTTTTCTTCTGATATAATAACACTTGGAATCTGATTGAAGTCCAGTCATTTAGATTTTATTTTTAAAGTGTAAATTTGATGGTGTAAGAAGGAGTAAACAATAAGGTCAGATGTTTCAATGGATGTTTGAGTTAAAGGACTGAGTAAATGAATGATGGAAAATAATCATAATTTGTTGCTTTTATAAGAACAATATACCCAAAGTCATGTCTCCAAAGTATTATAGTATTACAGAAAGCAACAAATTATTGCATATTGTAATCTAGCATAAATACATAGTTTTGGTCCTAATATGATTTTGTAACAGTGTGTGATAGAGCTGCATCTTAATTTAGACTTCATGGTATTTGTATGTTTTAGATATTAAGCTACTGAGATGTTAAATCCATATGTAACTATAAATCTCCCATTGATAAATGAAGTGCATGTGTCTAGCCTTTAAAAAATTCCTTATTAAAAGTTTCTCAGGTCTTACAAATTTTTTTGTTAAAAAGAATATAAAATTAAAATAACCATGCCTCCTTTTTATTAAGTGATAAAATTATTCTCCAGTTATTGCCTGTTGTATTTTAATTCTTAAAAAGAGAGAGCAAGACAAGAAAGTTTAATAGTATGCAAAATAGTTTTGCACTTTTACATTTTTAGAAAATAAATAGCTTTGGTTTTTCTCTTCTTTTTTGATATCTTTACGTTATTTGTATTTATAACTTGTGGATGAAGTTTGTGGGGAGAATGTTACTGTAAAATGTTGTTCAGTACACACACAGTTTTTATCATTTGACTTTTAAAAGTGTTGATATCTTTAGTCTATTGGTGATGGTTTAATAGAAAAACTTACACTTCCGTTTTGAGATGTATAGCTTATAAAGCTGCTTAATTGGTGACTTTAATATTGAGAGATAAAGGTAGCAAGAGGGACTTGAAATTTTTACAACCATATTTTTTAGTACTATTTATTATTAGTCTTTATTAGAATAAAAATTCATGATTGAGAGTGATGTTGAGATGTAATAGAGTCTGGTAAACTTGTTTAATCATCACTTTGGAATGCAGGACTTACATATTTTTAAAATGTTTGCGTTTTGTGATTATTAGATAATTACTGAGTTGTGATTTGAAATTGAGGAAAAATCAGGATCTTTGATAGATTTGTAAAATTTTAGAAATATCTTTGTGTTTTTGAGCCCTGAGTTACTATTCTATGATTGTTGCTAAAATAGTTTGATTTATCTGTGCCCTGCACACACATATAGTGGTAGTAGTTCATTACTGCATATTAATATAGCCTGGAAGCATAGTAGCTACATTTATATGTAATTTTTTGACCTTGTATTGCCGTTTGTGGATATTTTTGTGTCAAAGTATTTTCATATTATGTTTTTGAATTTCACTTTTAAAATGATAATCAGAGACAACGTTAAATTTGATCATTTGGAATCAGTCTTTTACATAAAATATAAGCTATTTAAAATAGTTAATTTTTAAATCAACTATTGATGCCCCTTTGTTTAAAGTTCTATTCATGGACACTATAATAACACGAGGCTCTATTGTGGGGTTATGCATAAACTCACACTACCTTATGTGATCTTGTGTTAATGCTTTCCTTTTAGTATCTTCTTGTAGCTTGGTAATAAAATTTGTTGATACTTTCTTTGGTTGGGTTCATTATCTTCATTTAGGGAGATGTTGGAGGGAAGATTTTGTTACTAAAAACTGTTATATATTAAGGTTTTGTTTTAAAAGGACTCTGAAAAAAACTCTTAAGGTTTTCCTTGCTACTATTTAATGTAATTTCACTGCATTGTCTCTTTTGATAGCCATTTTTCAGAGAGCATTTAATTCACTAGATAAGGATTCAGTATGACCCAATTTGATAGAATATTGCTGTGTTTTTTTGTAAAGGGCTACAGATTTTTTTTTTTTAAGTTCAATTTCTTAAGGAATCCTTTAAACACATCTTCTTTTTATTTGCCTTTTCCCTCTGATGTCTATAACCCAGAATTACTCCAAGCTACATATTTAGCTGCATAAAGCAGTGACAGCTTGTCTTCTAAACAATGACAAATTTTAAAATCAGATATTAAGAAACCCTTTCATAGTTTCAAGGGCAGTGAACTGTATGAACTTGCTTATCAGGTATTATTGCCTCCAGGGCTATAAAAAGGTAACACATTTAAATGACTATCATACACAAGATATTGACATACCTTCCTTGGTCAGGCCATTTATGTGAAGAGGATTATGCCCACTGAAAATACATTTGGCACGCCATCACTTCAGCAAAAAAGATGCTATCGAACATGCGCACATCCCCCAACAGTCTGCCTCCTGCGATTGCTTTTCACAGTATCCAAAGTGTCCATCTGTCTGCTTGTCTTCGAGTTACCCTCCTTGTTCATATGGGTCCTAGTCTTCTGAAATTTTCCCTTTCTTTCGTTTTCTCTCTCTTTCGTTAAACAAAAGAGCTGTAGTTGTCCGTTCTGCTTGTAGCACTGTTGACTCTTCCCGACAGTTGATGCATTGAAGCTTTTTACATCTGCTCTTTTCCTGGCTGGACAATGCAGTGCTGTGTTCTCGCCTCAGTATCCATATTTCTAGTAATAACACTGAGCTGCAATGTAAAGCAGCCAGAGCTAAAATGTAGTGCTTCAGTTGTATTGGAAAAGCATAAGATTTACCTCTCTTCTTTCGTTGTTGCCTGGCAGCTGCGGGAAGGATTTCGAGCAGTTTTAATGGGGTTTTAGTCTATAATATGAAATCCACGGTTCCTCAGCTGCTGCACAGGCAGGCAGCAGTTTAAATGTGGGCTTGACAGATGCTCTCTCTGACAGAGCAGAATTTAACGTCACTGCTTGGCTGAATCCCACGTGATTGTTTGCATTCATTTTGACTAAAAACCTAAGGTAGGGAGAAGCTTAGAGATTTTGCTTTTATGTGATAAATTATATATGTTCAATGCAAGTGTAGTGATGAGTGAATAATTTGAAAATGTGATGATTATAAAATGAATGGTTATGATTTTATTTTTTCCAGCTTATTTCCTTTTAACTTTATTCTTAAGTACAGGCTTTCTAAATGTTTTCTCTGTTAGAGGTTAGTTTTCATGTTTCTTACATGCTTTTGTAGGGTGTAGGCAGTATAAGCTTTTGTGTGTAAGTTGGTGTAATTTAACCCCTTCAGTGCATTCTCTTCTTGAATTTTTTTTTCCTGCTTTCAAATTGCTCTTGATTTTACTAATGTCTAGTTAAGACCTGTGGTTTCTATTGAAGCCATATATCTTTGTAACTTAGATCTCCTCCCCTCTTTCCCCACCCCCCCAGTTTTCTGGGGTTTATATAAATAAGCTGTCATGGATTACTTTACTAATGCATGATGTGATACAGCCCACTTCTTTTTTGCTCTTATGTGGCTTTTGGTGTTCTTGATGGCAGAAAACTTTACTTTAAATCACTTTTTAATGTTGGCATTTACTTTTTATTTATTTTTCCTTCCGTTTAAAATTACATGTATCGTAGAATTCAGTAAAATGATCTAATGGATATAGCACACTTGTATAGGATCTGGGGGGTAATGAGATTTTACTAATTATGTTTACTTACTCTGATGTTTCAGTAAGATTTAATAACTTGCCATGAAGCAGATTTTATTAGCACTACATACTCACTGAGATTTTTCTTGTATGGTTAGTTTCTGGGGCTGGCACCTTGCTGCTTTTCTTACTGCAGAGCAGTAGGGAAGGTTTTTTTAAATGTTTTTTTTTGTTGTTGTAAATAGCCTTTATTATCAGTTTTTCCTCTGAGACTCTAGGGACAGTAATTCAATCCTACAAAGTTACAGTTTTGGAGCTTAAGCTATAGGTTAACAGTTATATGCATATTCTTCATCTCATCTGTCTCCCCCATTAATATCTGCTATTTCAAATGAATATGAATTTATATTTTCTCTGATACTCAAAAAAATTTTGTGCACATATTTTTGAGCTTTGCTGATGAAATGTGCTTTGTAGTTTTAAGAACCCCACTGTATTAGAAATGTTAGAAGGATCATTAAAGAAAAAAATAAAAAGAATTTTATAAATGGGAAACCTAAAGCCTAGACTGATCTTTGACTTTTCCTAGTTTGAAGAAGAGGACTAAAACCCAACTTCCTTGTAGTCTATATCCACCCATACTACAGTTCTCACTCACTACCTTTTTGTTTTTAAAATTAGTTGACTAGTTAATAGAGTAATGCTTAAGAACTTACTTAAAATAACTTATTTTCCAGAAGTATAAATGCATTTTTGTAGATCAGTATTTATTTATTAGTGATTCCTTACATAGGATTTGACTGTGAAGCTAGCCACAATGAACATTTTATGAAGTATTTACTCAAAATCAGATTGTGTGCTAAGCTTACTTGAGCAGTTATGTAAATGGCTCTTTTCTAATAGTTTTATTATTGTAATACCCACTTAAAAGATGAGGAACCAGTGTCTGTAATTGTGAAATAATTAGTCCAAATGTCAGATAAATACTGGTAAGAATAGAGGCCAAGCTGGGAATTGAAGCAAGATTATCTAAATTCTTATCCTCTGGTTTTTTTTTGTTTTTTTTTTTTTTTTTTTTAAATTTTTTTCTATTATTATTCTCTGTTCTTAAACTTTGTATTACATGGCACCATTAGAAAAATTGTGGGGGGAGCCCCCCCCCCCCCCACCCCGAACACTGGCACAGCATACCCAGGAATCATTAACAGAATAATAAATGAATGTTTATATTTTCACTTTTTCAACAGGTACGTATTGATTAACTACTGTGTACCAACATGTGCATTTAGGCATAGCTTATTATGTATAGGGGATACAAAGTTGATTTAGAGACATTCCCTACCCATTTCTCCAGGGAAGGACTAAATAATTATTATTTTTTGCCAGTTCTTTTGATTGGATTTTTTTATGTCTCCCTGGATTATTATAGATTTTGATTATTAAGAGCGTTTTATGGGTAACCTACTCATTAGTGGGTCCCTCCAGTATTGGGTTGAGTCCCTGAATTTCCAGTGGGTTTCCCCCCGCCACTGAACTTTGCTTGTTATGGGGCAAGTATTTAAACAGGAAGAAACTTCCAAATACTACTAACAAAAGGTGCCTGTGTACTTAACTGGAATTTACTTCATACTTTAAAGTATACCCGCAACCCCTTCCCTCCCTCCCTCCCTCCCTTCCTTCCTTTTTTTTTTTTTTCCCCCCCTGGAGGTTTGCTCTATTGCCCAGGCTGAGGTACAGTGGCATGATCTTGTCTCACTGCAACCTCTGACTCCCAGGTTCAAGAGATTCTCGTGCCTCAGCCTCCCGAGTACCTGGAATTACAGGTGTGTGCCGCCACACCCGGCTAATTTTTGTATTTTTAATAGAGGCAAGGTTTTACTATGTTGCCCAGGCCGGTCCGAAACTCCTGACCTCAGGTGATCCGCCTGCCTTGGCCTCCCAGCGTGCTAGGATTACAGACATGAGCCACAGTGCCCGGCCAACCTGTTTGCTAAGTTTAAGTTAGTTAAGAACTTTATGTAAAAGTTCAGGAAAACAGGGCAGATGTGAGATAAAGTTCCTTTAGTAACTTTTTCTGGCAACCTGCCTGTTTCCAGTCAAGAGAAACTGTAAAAATCTTATGACAGGAGAGCTTGTAGAAGTTCTTCCTTTAGTTTCTTTTAACATCTGAATTCTATGGTTAAACTCACTCAGTAAATGTGACAAGGTTTCTTTGTCAGACTTAGCAAACTGGCAGCTATTCTGTTAAGTTTTATAGTTATAAATGGCTTGTAATTGTCATTTGCATGAGCCTGTTTTTAATCTTACAACACATCCGTGATGGAAAAATAGGTGGCCATTACTATGTGCATCATGGCCAGAGCTGTCCAGACTGGTTTTAGCATTTTTCTGGGCATGTCTAGTATAGACTTCAAGGAGTCAAAATTTAAAGACAGGAATTGTAATGCCTTCTAAGTCTCAGTTTTTACTGGGTGTAGAAATAATTATTTTTGTATTCAGGTAGTTAATGGTTTTGAATGATTGTTACATGTTGAATCAGATGTAAATCTGCTGTTCAAGTGGCTACTAAAGAGTAACTCATGGAGTTATATCATCTATTTATCTATGTATGTACATTCAACGAATATGTCCTTGGTAAAAAGATTAAAAGAGAAAGGGTAGGGGGAGGGCCCTTCAACCAGGATGGATGATTTTCATTTAATGGGAATGAGCAAATATCCTTGAGTAACATTAGAAGGGAGACATGAATCTGGTCTTCCTATATTGGTCTCCATTCCTGTTTGTGCTTTATTATAAGTGGTTGGTCCCTGAATTCAAGTAATTAATTTCAGCTAGGGCTTACCAGAAGTACCAGCTATTTTTTTCCATACTGGACAGAAATCTTAATGTTTTAGATCTGGTATAATTTCCACCATACCACTCTGAAAACTGTCACTTGACATAATTATTTAGAGACCAATTTTAGTTTTATTGAGATGACTAGACAATTTTGTGTAATGTTTGCTTGGAGTTTATTTCTATTGACTGTTTTTATTTATAATCAGATGCAGTCTCTTTCATTACATAAAGGATTTGGACAAATGACTTGTTTTTTGGTTATTTAATATTGGTGTAGGTAGTTTCCCCTTTTTGAAGAGAAGTAAAATGTTTATTAAAAGCTTATAATTTTCTTCTAAAGTCAGTGGATGATTTATGAACCAGCTTTACTTTCGTTGAACTCACAAAGCAAGAATTAGCCTGATTGCAAATAAGCAATCTCAAAATGACCACAAGTGTCAGTGTTTGCCTGCCTTATTTTTCTCCTTCAGTTTTCTTGTGCAGCAGATACGTGTGTTGTTTAAGAATTTCTTTTGACTTGAAAACAAAGCTAAATTTAAGTGTCTCTTTCAGAACTAATTATAGACACCTTATCTGTTTTAATTCATGCAAACTATTAACAATGAGCATTTACAATCAGCAGTGATTTGGCAAATACTTTATTATGCTTGTGTATTCCTTAGTTTTTCTGAGGCACAGCTATTTCAGTCAGGAATAATACTCTTAGAGCTGTGGTTCTCAAGGGGGCAGTGGTAGGGGTAGTACTGCTTTCTAGAAGGTGTTCTGGAAGTTTGTGAGGATGTTTCTAGTTAACAGAATGATTTTTAAGGGCATTTTAGGGCCAGGGTAGGTAGTAGTCCGGTAGTGTGTGGGACAGTCTGTAAACAATAAAGACTAGCTCTGCATTCTGCAGGACTTCTGAGTGTTTCATTGGATATCTGTGTAGGTGAAACACTTTTTTATAATTAAGTAAATTTGAAACATTATTGGAACATAAAGTATATTTTGTTCAGTTTTAACATGTACTGAATTATCTAGAAATGGAACTACAGTATACAATGAGGGAAGCTTGTACTTTGCTTTGTTCTAAACTTGGCCTATGGTTCACCATTTCAAAAAATCAAATTATGTTTATGGCATTGAGTCACCAGTATACCAGTCTATGAGCATTTGTAATTGTTACATTCACTATGACTTTATGTATAGGTATTAGCATCTGGTTAGTATGTCTTCTGCTAAAATCATGTCTGATACTTATATACTGAAATGCATATTTTTATCATAAATCTCTCTCTGTCTCTCTCTCTCTCTTTTTTTTTTTTTTTTTTGAGACTGTCTCGCTCTGTTGCCCAGGCTGGAGTGCAGTGGCATGATCTCAGCTCACTGCAATTTCCACCTTGGGGATTCAAGTGATTCTGCTACATCAGCCACCCGAGTAGCTGAGATTACAGGCGTGTGCCAGCACACCTGGCTAATTTTTGTATTTTTA